CATAGCAGAGAGCCGGATCAGAAGAGGAGCAGGGGCAATAACTGGTGCCCATGTGGGATGCTGCCACTGCAGTTGGACACTTAGCCTGCTACGCCACAGCACCTGCTACTAGTTTCTCTTTTGACACTTTACCATACATCGTGTAAGTTTTCTTAATTTTTTTCTCATTGTTTTCCTTTTTCTCCTCTGGCTGTATATTTTCAAATAATCTCTCTTTAAGTTCACAGCATCTTTGTTCTTACCGATCCAGTGTATAACTTACTCCATTTGTATTTTTAATTTCATTAATGGTATTTTTCAACTCCAAGAATTTTTTTGGCCCATACACACACATACACATACACACATTATAATTCAATTACACATTTTTGTCATTATGTTTTTTTTCATTGAATGTTTCATTGTATTTTACTGAAGTTCACTCATCCTCTGCAATTATTCTGAATTATTTGTCAGGCATTTCATATATCTCCATTTTGGGGGGCTTAGCTCCTGAGAACCTGTTGTTTGCTTTGAATGGAGATATTTCTCCTTGGTTTTCCACATTTCTTATTTTATGCTGATATGTGCTCATTTGGTAGAGCAGTCACTTCTTCCAGATTTTTAAAGGCTACTTTCATGGTAAAATGATCTTCTCCTAAGGGGTGTGTGTGTGTGTGTGTATGGGGGCTACACAGGGAAGCCTTCAGAGGCTGAGGCACTTGCCGAGAGAAGCCATACAACGTCTTTGAATTCTGTTGTGTGAAGTCAGTGTTACAATCACAGGAATGCTAAGGCCAATGCCGTGATATCCATGGTGACAGTGAAGTTAGCTTGAGTCTTCCCAGATGATTGCTGCTTAGGTTCTCTCAATCCTTCTTTCTTATGCTGGGTGTATCATGGGCCATGAAATCTATCTGGACACTGTATTCATCTTTTAGACACACTTGTGGTGTGATAAAACTAATATCTCATGTTTGGCACCTGTGGAGCAGTCACAGAACTGAGATCCAAAGCATATGCATACATGTAGGTATTATGGCTGTGAGGCAAAGGGTGGCAAATGTCAGAGGGGAATAGGATGCAGGCAATCCAACTGCCATATTGGTAACAGTTTATGTAGCACCAATGCTTGTGAAGTACTCAGGAAACAAAAATTAGAAAATAGGTAAGCATAGAGCTTTGGAGACTCTTCAGTCAAGGTAATATCTAGCTCTCTGTGGAATCAGAGCTGGTACAAGGAGTACAGGCACTTTCAACAAGAACTTAAGTCTGATTTCTGGAGTATAACTACCTTGTTGTGGTGATGGATCTGTATCTGAGATGTAGGCAAGTCTAAAGGAGCCATATACGTTAGATACGGAGTGTAAGCACTTCCAGAATGGACTATATCTTGGAGTTAGGTCATTTGTCACTTTTTTCAAAAACAGTTCAATATTGGCAGCTGCTTGGGTGGGAGAGAGTTATGCATTTACTTTTCCTGCCCTGAGATTCCCCTGTGAGAATGACTGTTGGTTACCTTATTGGAAAGAGATTCTGGAATCCTCTGTGAATTTTGAATGGAAGAACATGCTATTTTTCACCTTGAGACTGATATCAACAACCAGTTTCCATAGCAAGTTTTTAGCTTTACCCTTAGAGTAAGTCCAAGGGAATGTGTGCTGAACTGTATCTCCTCCCTCTCTTATTCCCATTCTTATTTTTAACAGGGATCAATTTTCAATTGTTAAACACCTAAGAATAATTCTGTTTTAAGTAAAGAGTTCAACTAATGATATTAAGTAGAAAAAGAAAATAGTTAAATGAATAAAATAGTAAGCTGTTCCTTGACAGTCTGTACAAGGGCTGATCAAGTCATTGCTTCTCATAGTGTTGACTTCACTTCTACAGGTTTCCTTTTAGGTGCTCAGTTAGTAGTCACAGATCAGGGAGAACCTATGATATTTTTCCCTTGGGGACTGGCTTATTTCATTCAACATGACGTTTTCCAGATTCCTCCATTCTGTTGCAAATTACTGGATTTCATTTTTTTTTTTTTTACCTCTGTGTAGTTAAAATATTTACTTTCATTTGAAAGGCAGAATGACATAGAAAGAGATACACTGAGAGAGAAAGAGAGAGAGAGAGAGAGATCCATCCATTGCAGATTCACTTGCCAAATGCTCACAACAGATAGGGCTAGGCTGGGTCAAAGTCAGGAGACCCACATTTCTTCTAGGTTTCTCACAGGAGTGGCAGGAATTCAAGTGCTTGCGCCATCAGAGTTGCCTCCCGGAGTGCACATTAGCAGGAACCTGGATTGTAAGAAGGAGTGGGACTCAAATCCAGTCACTCTAATGTGGAATTTGGGTATCCTAGGAGGCAGCTTAACCACTGCAACACAATGCACTCCTCTGGCTTTCTTATTCTATGGATAAGGTCTTGAAGAATCAACTGGTCTTGGAGAAGCTATTCAAAAGACCATTCTCTGAAATTTACTACAATAATTTAATTGTAAGTTATACAGAGTCAATAGGATATGGTTTCTGTTTTATCCAATGATGATATCTTTCAGATAAATAAGAATACTCTAAGCAGTCTGCAAAAGGTTCATGGACAATGTGTGTTATGGAAAGACTATTCATGGTTGTCAATTTTTTGCATGGAAATAAAATTGCTTTTCAGTCCGTTTTTTCCAAACATTCCCCTCATATTCTTAGTATGTTTCAGATTTTTTGCTACTGCTCCAAAACTGTAAAGAACCAAGATATCCTTCTAATTTATTAGTTATGAACTAGGTTCTTTTATAAAACTTACCTGAAAACACAAGTTGAAAAACTTGGAATCTCAGTGGAAAAAATAAATACATATGTATGTATCAAACTCACAGAGAAACTACAACATACATGCTTTAATTAAATTTGTTATTTATTTAAATCACAAGCAGTTTCCTTCAAGTAAAAACTACTTTATTCCAGGAAGAATTAAAAATGACTCACAAATTTGGCTCCAGTATTTAAAACTTTATCTGCCTTCAACTTTAACATGAAGTCAGGTTCTTTTTACAACCTATATCATAAACATGAGCCCCCAGTCTACCTTTTCTAAGGGTGTAGATTTTTTGAAAATTAAAATTGTTACTGAGATAATTATAGGTTCATATATAGCTGTTTCCAAATGACATTTTGAAAAATTATAATACAGGATCACAGTTGATCCAATCTAATTTTATTCATAATTTTCCAGTTTTGTTTTCACTGTGTGTAAATATGTTTTTGTCTGAATTTTGCACAATTTTGTTACTCTGTATAGTTTGTATGTCAATCATCACAGTCTAGATAACTGAGTATTGCCTGCAACCTAACACCCTTTCACAACATTCCACATTCCCTCTAATCCCTTGATTGTTACTTGCTAACCCTTGGCAACCATTAATCTGTGTTTTAAAAATGATGTGTTTTAATAATGTTATATAAATGGAATCACACTATAAATATATTAGAAAATCAGTATTTTTATGGTGCATAGTTCTCTGAGAACTCATTCAATTTCCTGGGGCCTCTGTTGAAGCACAGTGTTAAGCCACCACCTGTGACATCTGCATCCCATATCACTGCCAGCCTGAGTCCTGGCTTCTCTGAGCACTTGAGCCCCTGCCACTCATGTATAAAATCCAAATGGAATTCCAAACTCCTAGCTTTGGCCTGTCCCAGCCCTGGCCATTTCAGCCATCTGGGAAGTAAACCAGTAGATGGAAGATATCACCTCGTTCTTCCACAACTCAGCCTTTCAAATAAATTTTAAAAAATCCTTTCTAAAAATAATTTGTTCCTATTTATTTATCTACTGCTGAGTAGTCTTCTCTAGCATGGATGATTACATATTTTCCTATTATTCCACTGAAGGACATCTGTGTTGATTCCAGTTTGGAGCTATTGCAAGTAAACATATTATAAAACTTTGTGTACAAGTTTTTGGAGAAATATATAATTTAATTTTTCTATAAATAATGCCCAAGAGTACAATTACTGGTTGCTTCTGGAATTCATAAGATTCTGAAATAGTGTATCAGAATGACTCTATCATTTTGCATTATCACCAGTAATCTATGAGTAATCTGGTTTATCTGCATCCTTGACAGAATTTTGCCTCTTCAATACTTTTTAAAGATTTATTTTATTTATTTGAAATTCAGAGTCATAGAAGGAGAAAAAGAAATAGGGAGATCTTCCATGCACTGATTCACACCCCAAATGGCTGCAACAGCTGGGGTTGCGACAAGTGGAAGCCAGGAGCCAAGAGCTTCTTCCAGGTCTCCCAAATGGGTGCAGGAGCCCAAGCACTTAGGCCTTCTTCTGCTGTTTTCCCAGGCGCATTAGCAGGGAGCTGGTTCAGAAGGAGAGCAGACAGGATTCATACCATAGTCCATAAGATATGTAAGTCTTGTAGGTGGTGGCTTACTCTCTATGCCACAACACCAGCCACAATCATCAACATGTTTTTTATTAAAGTATTTTCTTTCTTTTTTTGAGCCTTGAATTTTTCACATTTTTGTTTGTATGCATTTCATATATACAACATTAGGAACCTAGTAATTTTTCTCACTGTATTTGCCCTTCCACCCACTCCCCCACCTCCCCTTCCCTCTCATGTTCCCTGATTTTTTTTTAAATTTTTTTTTAGTAAATATAAATTTCCAAAGTACAGTTAATGGATTACAATGGCTCCCCCCATAATTTCCCTCCCACTTGCACCCATCCCATCTCCCTCTCCCTCTCCCATTCCATTCACATCAAGATTCATTTTCAATTATCTATATATACAGAAGATCAGTTTAGTACATATTAAGTAAAGACTTCATCAGTTTGCACCCACACTGAAACACAAAGTGTAAAATACTGTTTATGGCGTCAGTAATCTCCCTAGGCTCTTGTCATGAGTTGCCAAGGCTATGGAAGCCTTTTCAGTTCACCAACTTCGATCTTATTCTGACAGGGTCATAGTCAAAGTTAAAGTTCTCTCCTCCCTTCAGAGAAAGGTACCTCCTTCTTTGATGGCTCCGTTCTTTCCACTGGGATACCAAAAAATGGAAAAATCTTCCATGCTCATGGATTGGAAGAATCAATATCATCAAATTGTCCATTCTCCCAAAAGCAATTTATAGATTCAATGCAATACCAATCAAAATACTGGAGACATTCTTCTCACATCTGGAAAAAAATGATGCTGAAATTCATATGGAGACACAGGAAACCTCAAATAGCTAAAGCAATCTTGTACAACAAAAACAAAGCCAGAGGCATCACAATACCAGATTTCAGGACATACTACAGGGCAGTTGTTATCAAAACAGCATGGTACTGGTACAGAAACAGATGGATAGACCAATGGAACAGAATAGAAACACCAGAAATCAATCCAAATCTACAGCCAGCTTATATTTTATCAAGGATCCAAAACCAATTCCTGGAGTAAGGACAGTCTATTCAATAAATGGTGCTGGGAAAACTGGATTTCCACGTGCAGAAGCATGAAGCAAGACCCCTACCTTTCACCTCACACAAAAATTCACTCAACATGGATTAAAGACATAAATCTACAACCCGACACCATCAAAATATTAGAGAACATTGGAGAAACACTTCAAGATATAGGTATCAGCAAAGACTTCTTGGAAAAGACCCCAGAAGCACAGGCAGTCAAAGCCAAAATTAACTATGGGGATTGCATCAAACTGAGAAGTTTCTGTACTGCAAAAGAAATAGGAAAGTGAAGAGGCAACCAACAAAATGGGAAAAATATTTTCAAATGATTCAACAGATAAAGGGTTGATAACCAGATTCTACAAAGAAATCAAGAAACTCCACAACATCAAAACAAATAACCCACTTAAGAGATGGGCCAAGGACCTCAATAGACATTTTTCAAAAGAGGAAATCCAAATGGAAAACAGACACAAGAAAAAAGGTTCAAGATCACTAGCAATCAGGGAAATGCAAATCAAAACCACAATGAGGTTTCACCTCACCCCGGTTAGAATGGCTCACATTCAGAAATCTACCAACAATAGATGCTGGAGAGGATGTGGGGAAAAAGGGACACTAACCCACTGTTGGTGGGAATGCAAACTGGTTAAGCCACTATGGAAGTCAGTCTGGAGATTCCTCAGAATCCTGAAGATAACCCTACCGTTCGACCCAGCCATCCCACTCCTTGGAATTTACCCAAAGGAGTTTAAATTGATAAAGAAAAAAGCGGTCTGCACCCTAATGTTTATTGCAGCTCAATTCACAATAGCTAAGACCTGGACCCAACCCAAATGCCCATCAACAGTAGACTGGATAAAGAAATGATGGGACATGTACTCTATAGAATACTATACAGCAGTCAAAAACAACGAAACCCGGTCATTTGCAACAAGATGGAGGAATCTGAAAAATATTATGCTGAGTGAATTAAGCCAGTCCCAAAGGGACAAATATCATATGTTCTCCCTGATTGGTGACAACTAACTGAGCACCAAAGGGGAAACCTGTTGAAGTGAAATGGACACTGTGAGAAACAGTGACTTGATCAGCTCTTGTCCTGACTGTTGATATACAATGTAGTACTTTATCCATTTTAGTATTTTTTTTTTGTTCTAGTACGATAGATTGAACTCTGTAATTAACACACAATTATTCTTAGGTGTTTAAATTTTAACTGAAAAGTGATCTCTGTTAAACATAAGAGTGGGAATAAGAGAGGGAAGAGATGTACAATTTGGGACATGCTCAATCGGACTTGCCCCAAATGGTGGAGTTAGAAACCTGCCAGGGGATTCCAATACAATCCCATCAAAGTGGCATGTACCAATGCCATCTCACTAGTCCAAGTGATCAATTTCAGTTCACAATTGATCACACTGATAGGTCTAAGAGTCAAAGGGATCACACAAACAAGACTAGTGTCTGCTAACACTAACTGATAGAATCAAAAAGTGAGAGAACGATCCAACATGGGAAGTGGGATACACAGCAGACTCATAGAATGGAAGATGTCCTAAATAGCACTCTGGCCTCAGAATCAGCCCTTAAGGCATTCAAATCTGGCTGAAGAGCCCATGAGAGTATTTTAGGCATGGAAAGCCAAGACACTCTGGCAAAATAAATAAATAAATAAATAAAAAACCTAAATGACAGATCCCTGATTTGTTTTTTACCAAGATCTATTTTCATTTAACTTTATATACAGAGAATTATGTCTATTCTAGGTCAAGAGTTTACTGTTTTGTGTGAGAGAGAAAAAGGAAAAGAAGAGAAAAGAAAAAAGGAGAGAAAAACTGTTCCTCAACAGTCTAGTCAAGGGCTACTCAAAGTTATTTCATCTTTAAGGTAATTTTGCATTTTTTTAGATATTTTTGTTTATTTATTTGATAGGTGTAGTTACAGACAGTGAGAAAGAGAGGCAGAGAGAAAGGTCTTCCATCTGCTGGTTCATTCCCCAAATTGCTGCAAATCCTGGAGCTGGGCCAATCTAAAGCCAGGAGCCAGTAGCTTTCTTGTTGTCCCCCACGTGACAGGAGGGTCCCAAGCACTTGGGTCATCATCTATTGTTTTTCCAGGCCATTGCAGAGAGCTGAATCAGAAGAGGAGCAGCCAGGATATGAACTGGAGCCAGTATGGGATGTTGATGCCACAGGCAGAGGATTAACTCATTGCGCCAGAGCACCAACTCCAATTTTGCTTTTTTTTTCTTTTTCTTTTTTTATTCCTTCTCTCCCCCTCTTTCCTTTTAGAAACTTAATTATCTTTAAAGAAGAAGCCAAGAATTATACATCTTTTATGAGCTCTTAGATACAATTTTAACCACTGAGACATAAGAATATCCTCCGCTTAATACTCAAAAAGGAAATAATTCTTGGGCAAAACTTTTTACTATTAAGTCTCATAATACAACTCTTTGAGGAATGATGTCCTGCTTGGGAAGTTAGTGCACAGTGACTTCTGTTGTTTATTTAACAATTAACAGTCTTATGTATGATGGCAATGACAACCCGAGGCTCTTAACATGAGCTGCCTAGGCTATGGAAACCTTATGGGTCCACAAAGTGGAAGTTCTCTCCTCCCTTCAGAGAAAAGTACATCCTTCTTTAGTGGCCACTTCTTTTCACTGGGGTCTCACTCACAGAGATCCTTCATGTAGAACATTTTTTGCCACAGTGTCCTGGCTTATTTTTTTAAAAAAATTATTTATTTACTTATTTGAAAATCAGTTACAGAAGGAGAGGGAGAGAGAGAGAATGAGAGAGAATAAAGAATCTTCCATTGGTGTTTCACTCCCAAAATGGCTGTAATGGCCAGTGTTGGGCCATGCAGAAGCCAGGGGTTTTTTTTATTCTTTTTTTTTTTTAATTTTAGTGACAGGCAGAGTGGACAGTGAGAGAGAGAGACAGAGAGAAAGGTCTTCCTTTACCATTGGTTCACCCTCCAATGACCGCTGCAGCCAGTAGGCTGCAGCCGGCACACCACACTAATCCAAAGCCAGGAGCCAGGTGCTTCCTCCTGGTCTCCCATGCGGGTACAGAGCCCAAGAACTTGAGCCATCCTCCACTGCACTCCCGGGCCACAGCAGAGAGATGGACTGGGAGAGGAGCAATCTGGACAGAATCCGGCGCCCCAACCGGGACTAGAACCCGGTGTGCCGGTGCCGCAGGCAGAGGATTAGCGTATTGAGCCACGCCGCCGGCCTCCAGGGTTTCTCATATGGGTGGCTAGGGCCCAAGAACTTGGGCCATCTTCTGCTGCTTTTTCGGTTCCATAGGAAGGGAACTGGATCAGGAGTGGAGAATCTGGAACTTAAACTTGTGGCCATAGCGCATCCTGGCATCATAGGAAGTTACACAATATGCCACACCCATGGCAGGTTTTTTAAGTGTAGGAATTTCATTTTACTAGGTACTTTTAATTAAACTGTGATAAAGGAGTAAACATTTTTGCAATCTCAAGACAATATTATCTGTAGTGGTAGTCTGACTTTTTTACCTTAGTGCAACATCGCAGCCTGTGTGAGCTCATTCTTAATGTCTTGATTACTGGAAATTTTTGTATTTCTCATTATATTTATAATTCCACTGCATTTATGCTTATGTCCTGGAGCTCTCTCATTTTAATATGTAAAAGAGACAACTGCTCTACATGTTATAGAATTTTAGAAACCATTTGCATAACTTAAAAACAATTGATAATGGAGTTTACTTTAATTTCTGTTAGATATAAATTTTTGAAAGCCACTCTCAATAACTTTAGAAGGCTTCATACTGAGTTCTTCTCTGTCCAACCTTCCATTTTTTAATAGATCAGCTTCTGTCAAAGGGAGGCCTCCAAAAGCACTCCAGCAGCAGGTCCACTTTTTGTGCCTAGCATCTTGTTACCAGGACTAAGCACAGGGTATCCACATTTTACCTGGCTCTTTGGCTCATATTGTCCCCATGAGGAACACTGGCACCAAGTTAAAATATTAATACCAATAAACATTTTCCAATGAGAATAAAAACATTAAATCTACAATTAAAAACAAACAAAAAACTTTTCCTAGAAAAATGTCTACAAAACCCTGCTGAAACTGGTATGAACATTTAGAAACAGAACACCCCATTTTATGCTCTATATTATTTATTTAAAGTTGCTTCAAAGTTTTTTTTTTCCTAATAATGGGTTTATATCAGGACTCCCAAATCAAAATCTTACATGCCTGTGTTATTGGAAATTGCATGTGCAAATTCTTTCCAAGTATAGGTAAATCCAAAGGACTCCAACAAAGTATTCATGGCTATTTATCTATTTTCACAATTTTCCAAAAAGAAAAAAACAATGAGTCTCTGTGATTAATCAAATTCTTTATCTTTGCAAAAATTGAAATGCTCTCAATTTTAAAGACTTCATTCCGCATATTCTACCTGTTCCACCAAGGTTCCAAAACTTTTATCATGGCTGTGTATGTAAGGTTCATACTCAGAACACTGCATTTATCCCTTTCATTCTTATCACCTCTACAAAAGGAAGATTTTTTTTCACACATACAGGTTAAGGAGGGAAGTATAGTACTGAGGTGAATTTAAAGGAAGTTCCCATTGAATTCTCCAAGGATTGTCATGAGAGAATGGTAATTTTCCTTATTTGTATTATCATTCACAATAATGATTCATGAAACCAAACATATTCTATAGTCT